GGGGGGGGGAGTTGTGGGGGGATGCCGCCGGGCAAGGGTTAGACCTGCCCTGCCCGTGTGCAGCGCTCCCCCCAAGCCACGTGCTTCTTCCTAGGCAAAAGCAGCCAGATGGTGCGGCCCAGCAGCCCCCCAGCGCCGGGGCTACGCTGCTCCCTAGAAGAGCGGCTCTGTGGCGGCCGCTGGTGTTGGCAGCAGCCCTGCCTCCTGCTGGGCACCCGGCCTTCCCTGCAGGAAGCCAGCCGGCCAGCCACGCCAGCTGCTGGAGCGGCCCCAGGCCCTCTGGGAGGGCGGCCCGGGTGGGGGAGGTGGCGGCACTGCAGCGACGTGGCAGCCCGGGGCACCCCCCCCCCCCCGGCAGGGGGCAGCGGGCCGTGCTCGGCGTTGGGAGAAGGCAAGCCGAGGGTGGGCATGCCGGGGGGGGGGAAGGCCAGGCTGCCCCATCCTGGGAGCGGGAGCCAGGAGAGGCCTTGGGTGCCGCGTGGGGCACTCAGGGCTCCCTGCCTGCGGCTGCTGCAGAAGGGGCAGATTCCATGTGCCGGCTGATCTGAGGGGGCAGGATAAACAGCCGTGGCCTCGGGACCTTCTGCGGGACTAAAGTGCAGCTGCTCCCGACACGTGACCCTCTGCCCAGCCCGCCTCTCTGCACCCGACCGTGGCGCAGCACGCACCTGCCCAGGGAAGGGAGGCCGCAGCACCGGCCAGGTGAGCGCGAGCGCACAGGTGGGGGCAGCCAGCCTGGCAAAGCCCTCATGGACGGGCACGGCGGGCCTTACCAGAGCAGCGGGGGGGGGCGCTCTTCCACTCCCTCCCTCCTCCAGCTTGGCGTCGCTCGCTGAGCTGGCAGCAGGCCCACGAAGCAGCGCCCACGCCAGGGCTGGAGAGCCAAGACTCCGACGTGCCCGAAGCAGCGCCGGCCTCCCTCCCTCGCCCTGCACGGACCCCGGCCTGCGCCGGCGCGATCCTCTTGCACCTGCGCAGGGCCCGCAGGGCGCCGGCCCTGCCCTGCCCACAGGTTCTGCCTGGAACGGGCCCGCAGGAGCGTGGGCACTGCAAGAAGGCCATGGGGGTGAGGCGGTGTAGACCAGGCGGTGTGCCTGGGTGGGGGAGCCGCTCTTTGCGGCTGCTGATCAGGGTTAGGTAGGGTTTTGGGGGAATGGGCGAGGCCCTTTTCCCTTGGGAGGCTCGTCCTGGCAGCGGCCCCTCCTGCCCTTTCCCTTCCCTGCCCGTCCCGCCCAAGGCCGGGGCAGGGGGGCAGCTGCAGCAGAGCCTGCTGCAGGGGGTGGGGAGAGCGGGACTCTGGCTGGCCACTGAGAGGCCTGTGCCTTGCCTGCCCCCTGCGGCGGCCAGCCACAGCCCGGAGCGGCTGGGGACATGGGCCGTTGCCTCCCCCAGGCACGATCCTGGAGGCCGGTCAAGCTCGGCCGGTCGCTGACACCGGCTGTGTCGCCTGACTGGCAGAGAGGGCCCGACGCCATGGCTCCTGCTGGGCGCACGGCTGCATGGCGAGTAAGTGCCTGGGGGGCCCAGGAGGCATGGGGGGCGGCCACAGCTGCCCCGGGGCAGCTCCGGGCAGGCCAGGGGACTTCTCCCCACCGCGCCCCCTCAGGGGGCGGAGCACAGCATCTGCGTGAAGGTCACAGGGACCCGCAGAAGGAATCCCCCCAGGCCGGGGCCTGGGCCAAGGGAAAGGGGGTCCTCTGGGCAGGGCTGCGTGCAAGGCGGGGAGGGGCGGCAATGGAGGCCCTTCCTTGAAACGTGTCCTGAGCCCTGTCTGCACGCTGGGGGGCCTCGGGCCTTTCTAGGCCGTCAGTGAAATGCACGGATGCCCTGCTCCCGTGGCACCCGTGGTCATGCATGCAGGGGGGCCTAGCCGCCTGCGCCCAGCAGGGTCCGTCGCCCGCACGGCCAGGAACCACGTGAGGCCGGCATGCGGAGCCATGCAGGCAGAGCTTCTGGGGACCCGGGAGCCGGGCCTGGCTCAGGGCCGACCCGGAGGAGGCTTTCTCTCGCAAGGCAGCCGGGAGCTGTGGGGATGGCTGGGGACTTGGCAGTGGGGGGCGGGGGGGGGGGAGTCCCACAGTGTCTCTAGGCCGTGAAGGGCAGAAGGCACCACCAGGTCTCCGGAAGCCAAAGACCAGCTGCTGGGCGGTCGGGCTGTTGCCTTCCAGGCTGGAGGCTTCCCAGCTGGATCAGACGGATGGGCCCCTGCAGGAAACGGCAGGCCGGAGCGGATGGCCACAGCCTCACACTCGTCTTCACCGTGGGTTCATCGGGACCAGCTTTGCACGTGCCTCCCGTGCCTCTTCCCACGCCTGCCCGCCTGCCGGAGCTCCCCCACGCTGCTTGGAGGGCGTTGCTGATGCTTGCTGCTTCCCCCCACAGGGCCGATGGGAGGCCAGGGGTCTCCCGCTCCTGCTGCTGAGCCTGCTCCTCGGGGCCCGGCCCGGCCCAGCATGGCCCTGCCCCACTCCGTGCCAGTGCTTCGGGGGTACGACCGTCTTCTGTGCCGAGGGGTCTCTCCGGGACATTCCCAAGGGGATTCCGCCCAACACCACCCAGCTGCTGTTCCTGCAGACCGCCCTGGACGCCCTTCCCAGCCAGGCCTTTGCCGGGAGCAGCACCCTCCGTAAACTGCTTTTCCTCGATAGCCCCATCCTCTTTCTGGGAGAGGCCGTCTTCGAGGGATTTCCCAACCTCCAGGAGCTGGAAATCTCCAGCAGCAAGCTGAGTGAGCTGACGAGCGAGGCCTTCCTGGGCCTGGACAAGCTCAGCAAGCTCTCCATCAAGTTCAGCCCCATTGAGGCCCTGCCGGAAGGCCTCTTCAAGAACACGCCAGGGCTGGAGACGCTTCACCTGCAGGGGAACCGGGTCAGGTCGCTGCCCCCCGGCCTGTTCTGCCCTTTGACTCGCCTGCAGACCCTCTCTTTGTCCCAGAACTGCCTGGCTGAGCTGCCCGCGGGGGTCTTTGAGCCTCTGCGGCTCCTGAGGGTGCTGAAGCTGAGCAACAACCGCCTGCCAGGCCTCCCGGACGGCCTCTTCCCGCCTCTGGCCATGCTGGAGGAGCTCTTCCTGGACGGCAACGCGCTGGCGGAGCTGCCCGCAGGCCTCCTCTCCCCGCTCTCCCACCTGAAAAGCCTCCAGCTCCAGCACAACGCGGTGGCGCGCCTGGCCCCCCCCACCTTCGCCTCCCTCCACAGCCTGGCCTTCCTGAACCTGGACGACAACCGGCTGGCGGAGCTGCCCGCCGGGCTCTTCCAGGGGACCCCCCGCCTGCTGGAGCTCTCCGTGGCCCAGAACCGGCTGCAGGCAGTCCCGGAGGGCCTCTTTGGCCAGCTGCCCGACTTGCTGGTCCTCCGCCTGTCACACAACCACCTCCGCCGCTTGCCTGCCGGGCTCTTCCAGGGCTTACCGGCCCTCGGCAGGCTCTACCTGGACCACAACAACCTCAGCAGCCTCCCTGGGGAGGTGTTCGCCAGCCTCGCCAGCCTGGAGTTCCTGGACCTCGCGCACAACCGGCTGCTGAGCCTGCCGGAGGGGATCTTCGACTCCAACGAGGTCCTCTTCAACGTGGCGCTGAACGGCAACCCGTGGTCCTGCGACTGCCACCTGGCGCCCCTGGCCGCATGGCTCCAATACAGCGACCTGCCCCTCAACGCCCAGGCCGTCTGCAGCAGCCCGGCTCACCTGAGGGGGCGGAGCCTCCCCGGGCTGCAGGCGCAGCAGCTGGTCTGCAGAGGCGAGCCGGGATCCGGCCGGTGCCGAGCGGAGGCCCACGATCTCCCGGGAGCGGCCCAGTGCACCTACGAGGACCCGTCGGGGGCCGTCCACCTCGAGTGCGACCAGGGCGAGTGCCGCCAGCTCAGCCTGTGTCTCCCTCGCGCCGGGGACTTGCCTGCCCCGGGGCAGCATTTCAGCCGGAACTGGACCCTGGACTCGGCCTGTGGGAAGAGGAGAGTCCGGGTGACCGTAAGCATTGAGGAGGAGGAGCGCCCGCAAGACGCCGAGGCCGGGCCCACGGGGTCCGCGGCGCCAGCCATCGAGGACGCCGCCTAAGCCGAAATTCCCGCCGCAGCCGCACGGGGGCAGCACTTGCAATGGCTCCAGGCAAGCTGCGTTCTCGGCAATCCAGAGGGTGCCCGGCGGTGCCATCGAGCGCCGTGGTTCGCGACTATCTTGTGCCCGCGGAAATGGCGCCCCCGCCCCCCCCCCGCGCTTCTCGGTCCAGCCTTTCAGGGAACGGGCCCTTGACGGACATGAGCCGCCTGCCCCGGGCCGTGCGGGGGCTCCGCGTGGGCCCCTCTGAGGGAACTGGCAAGGGAACGGCGTACTTTTGCTGCGCCAGGAGGGGTCGGAGAGTTGGGCGGCCGGTCGCTGCCAAGGCACCCCAAGACCGCCGGCTGACCCGCCTGCGTGGAAGCCCCCGACCGGGAGGCTGCAAGGGCGGCGGCAGGCAGCGCGGTGCCCCGGGCCGTCCTTCCAGGCGCCCCGTCCTCCCGGCCACACAAGGAGGGCGCGTTTCCTTCGCGGGGTCGGTGGCTGGTTCCGGAAAGCGCGGGTCGGGAGGGCCGCCGCGGCATCCCGGGCTCAGCCCCGCGCCTGTGCTGCCTCGCAGGCCGTCCTTGCCCTTCGCCAGCCCCCCCGGGAAGCCATTTTGCGGTGGCGCCGCGGAGCCCCTCAAGTTGTCGGCCGGGCCCACGACCCCGGAGGGCAACCGGCGCCTCTGCGGCGGCCCTCGTGCGCCGGGCCCCGCCGCGGGCCCAGCGCTTTGCCCGGCCACTCGCGCCTCCGCGGCCGAGCGGGCGCGCGGCGCCGATTCCCGGGGGCTGCCCGAGCGAGCGCTGAGGGAGGGGCGCGGGGTCCGCGGTCCCGGGGCGTCGGGGCTCCGGGCGCGGCCGACGCGGGGAG